AACGGCACGTTAAATCGGCGGCTCTGTACCCGAATTCGAGAAGATTCTCCCGCTTTGGACCACCGTTTTTTGAAAATTCAAAATTCAAATTTCAAATTTCAAATATTTTGGGTTGGCGCTGGTTTTCCGAGACGATTTCCCCGCCGAAAAGCGACTAGGCTGTTCAAATTCCAGGAAATGATCGCATGTGCTTCCCGCCCCTGATGGTCCCCACAGGACCGAGAATCGGAGGACTCCTTGATGGGTAATAACCCAAGGATACCACCCGGTTGGTTCACCGAACAGCACGCGTCTTTTTCAGCCCGGGTTATTTGACCGGTTGGATGAGGAGACCAGATGCCAATACCCGAAGATTTACTTTCAAAGTGCACCTGGTGGGCCGGTCAGCCGCCTGACCGGTTGGATAATCAGAGACGTGCTTGACGTGCTTAGGATTATTATAAATACCCTTAAAAGCCTCATTTGTGAGGCATGTTTTAATGAACCTACACGGCTTGTATTTGTAATAACTCCTATTATCTTTAATAACAAATCGGGTTACAGGTGATTCCACCTACAACCCTTCCGATTACTCACACTTAATATTTGCGTGGTAATTTACACCATCACACATTGTTTATAACTACTTGTTTACACTAATATCAATGTCTCTCCCAAAAACTTTTTTTTTCAAAATTATTGGTTTTGACAACTTAACAGCATATTTACATATTGAGTAAATTCCATAAAAAGTTTCTAATTATAAGTCGTTTTACATATTTAGTACCTACATATCAAATATTACTAATTTAGTCACCAATTCATATATTCATTTCCACGAATGGTCCTTTGTTAACATTTCCGTTAAGAACATAGATAAAATTGTAAATTCACACTCCTTTCTCTCCTCTATTGAACCCAAAACCGAAATCATCACTCTTCTCTCAATTCTTTGTCTAACTGGTGGAATCCAAATTCGAAACCCGTAACCTTCATGGATAAGTTTTAATGTTTATTTTCTTTGTAGTTTCTTGAGACTAACCAAAAAACTCATCCATAAAGCTTATTGGTTTTGATTTTATGATCCACCAGGAAAACTAATAATTAATAGATGAATGATCATTTTAGTTTTGGTTTAGAGCTTCAAACTCAGCGACGAGTTTGGGAAAGAGTACGAGAAGAGGGAGGAAATTTAATTGAGAAGTGAGAGAAGTATGAATATACAATTTTATCCATGTTCTTAACAAAAATGTTAACAAAGGACCATTCGTGAAAAATGATATAATAATTGGAGACTAAATTAGTAATATTTGATATGTAGGGACTAAATATGTAAAATGACCTATAACTGGGGACCTTTTATGGAATTTACTCTTACATATTTGTATCTTTAAACACACTGAAAATTTTTTACAATAAATAAAATAGGACCATACTACATTTACACCAAAAAATATACCCCATTTGTACACTGCAGTTATACACAAACATTTTGATGGTTTGCACCGACACAAATGTTGGTGCGTTAACAAAAATTTACACGGACACAAAATGTTGGTGCATTCACAAAAATTAGTTTTACACCAACACAAAATATTGGTGCAAAACTGCGGGATACAAATTGAGGTACAAAAAGTTGGGGTACAAGTAGTTTTATCTAACAAAATATGATCCATTGTAGTATCCATGATACGTTATAAAATATTATTTTTCTTTCTTAAATAATTTCAGAATAAAATTTAAATTAATTATATCCGAAATTTTGAGTAGGGTATTGTGTTTTTTTGGACCATGCTACACTTACACCAAAATTTGTACCCCAAACTTACACTAAAGTAGGGCTGGGTCGGGAAAAACGAAAACCGAACCGAAATCGATCGAAACGAGCTAGAAAAAAAACTGAACCGAAAAAACCGAATGTAAAAAAACCAAACCGAACCGTTATTGTTTGGTTCCGTTTTGGTTTTTACTTTGAAAAACCGAACCGAACCGAATAAACCGAACTTATTTATATGCTTCATTTTATTTATATGAGTATATGTGATATGTATAAAAATCATATAAACAAAAATGCAAATAAATTACTAGTCAATTAAAGTTTTTTCTTAACTATTAATTAAACATTTTAACCATATTATAAACTTTAAAAAATCTAAGAATATAAACACCAATAACTAATCCTAATATAGAATTATATAATATTAAAAATTAAAATGAGTAGTTAACATATTTAAATAAAAAAAACTTTGATGTTATAATGAAAATGAAAGTATTATATAAAAAAATCCAAATTCTCTGCAATTGATTTTACATACGATATCTTTAAGATTATTTAGAATCTTCTAGATGTTTGTTAGACACTTGACACATATTTTGTATATAAAATTGAACCAATGAGAATACTAACCTTCCGCTCGGCTTTTTTTGTGTGTAAAAATCAAGCAAAAAACCAAACCCAAACTTACGTATTGTTATTGCTTCGTCGAGTTAGTATTTATACAATTTTTAATGCTTATAAATATTTAGTTTTACAAATCGAAAAAAACCGAAGCAAAAACCGCATAAAACCGAACCGAATAACCAACGGTTTGCATATTTTTTATGCAAAACCGAACCGAACCGAACCGCCAACTTACCTTCCGTTTTGTCTTTGGTTTTAGATAAAAACCGAACCGCAAAAAACCGAACTCACCCCTACACTAAAGGTATACACCAACATTTTGATAGTTCACTTTGTATCAGTGTAAACAATCAAAATGTTAATGTATATCTTTGGTGTAAGTTTGAGGTACAAATTTTGGTGTAAGTTTAGGATGGTCTTTTTTTTTCAAAAAATTCGGAATGAGTTCTGTAGTTGCTCATTCCTGTAATTGAAAGAATTTGGGAGTAATAAAGCTGTCCGAGCCTCTGTACTTCTATTATTCTGCCGGTGCAGTCTTATCCAGAGCGCGAGAGACCGGAGAAGCCAAGAATGACGTTGGGCTGGTCCACAATAGCGGTGGCGCTAACGTGCGCCGCAGTGGTAATGCTGCCGGGAATCTGGTCCGACCCGCTTCCCATCCGTCACACAGTGGGAGGGCGTAACTTCTGGAATTCCAATGTGAACTACACAGAATGGGCTCTCAAGGAACATGTTTACAAAGGCGACTGGCTCTGTAAGTTCTCCCTGCTCAGATCTACTCGCTTCCCCCCTAAAATTCCCCATCATTTTATTCTTCTTAGACATACACTATGAATATGAAATTCAAATCATGCTTGTTGTTGCGGATTGCGTTGCTGTCTGCAAGTTGAACAGGAAATGTGTAATTTCTTTCGTTTTTCATTGCGGATCTGTTGAGCCAAATTATTAACACCAATTGGAGGAGGATAGTGATGCTTTCGACTAAGGCTATTTTTGGCCAATTTGTAGATCTTTTCGTGTGTAGCTTGCAATAAAAGTGAGATCCAGTTAAAATGATTTTCAAAGTTGATGGTCATGATGGAAAATCACCCCCAAAATGCTATAAATGTTATTTTTTCTAGATCTGTCAACCAATTTTGGTGCCCATCTAGCAACGTAGTCACCTACAAACCAACACCCCACCACGGCCAGTATCCCATTGCCATCATGCTTGCACCTCAGTGTCTTTATCCACAAAGGAAGTTCACGAGATGAGCCCGTGACCTTGTGTGTAAATCCTAACCCTAGGGTTCCCTGTTCACCTATAAAAGAGAATGGATCCGCCCGGACTCCTCTTCTTCCACTCTCTCTACACATCACTACTGTAGTTATGAGTCAAACTGGACTTTCAATTTGTGACGGAGGGAGTATTATTAACATGCTTCTTGTCTATAGAGCATTACTTTGTATCATGTTGAGTTCAGGTTCTAAATATGAACCAATCAGAAAACAAAACTTTCATTCTTCTTGCAAATATACAACAAAAACAAACCCAGTAAAATTCCAACATAGTGCGGTCTAGGCAGGCATGGGCATGTTCATATCTACATGTTCTTAAGTGGAGGCACATGCCCCCGCTGAAATCTTAATTCTTTTCTCATTTATACTTTTCAAATTTTTTTCTTCCAATGTTTTTCTTTTATTAACGTGCCGAAATAAAATTTTATTTTTAAAAGAATGATATGTGGTTCATATTATTTTTCTTCCTATACATAAGTAAAATCCACTTTATCCCCCTAAATGGAAAGCAAATAATAACTCAAGTATGGGATAAAAGCAATACTCCATGCGTATTAGTGGGTCCAACTTTCTCAAGTGAAGCACACTATATGAACACTAATGATTATTGGAGTATGATTGATTAAGAAGTGATACATGAAAACATCACTAAAAATGTCAAAAGTATCATGAATTTCTCACTTTTCTTAGATAAATGATAGCATGTCGCTAAAGTCTCTTGAATTACTCACTTTTGTTAGATAAATGATAGCATCTCTCTCTAAAGTCTAGAATTATTCACTTCTTTGAGATGGATTTTGACTTTGCAGATTTTGTTTTTGACAAGACGCAGTTTAGTGTGCTCGAAGTCAACAAAACTGACTATGAGTCCTGCAACTCCAACCATGTCCTTCACGACTATACTCGTGGTGGAAGAGATGTTGTTCAACTTAACGAGACCAAAACTTACTATTTCATTAGCGGCAATGGGCATTGTTATGGTGGAACGAAAGTAGCGATTCGCGTTGAAGATCATCCGCCACCTCCAAAGGCCCAACCAGCGAAGAACAGTTCTCCTCCTACTTTCAGAGGTCACATTCTTGTCCCAGCTCTGTTTGCCGTTGCTGCTCTGTGGGATTCCTTGCTTTTACTTGTGTAGGAGCGCCAGCCTTGTTCGAATCCACATTTCTGGCTTTCCTCTAATTGGTTAAGTTAATTTGAGTAACGTACTCGACTGTGTACCCAGGAAAGAAAACCCTGGCGTGATTGGTAGTGGTCTGTACTCATTTGGTGTTTTCTAATGTCGTTGACCAGTCTTATTTCTATACATTTTTTGAAATTTTTTGTTGACTATTATTTGAACTTGGATTATGCTATGTGTACCCCAAGTTTTGTACCCCAATTTGTACCCCGCAGTTTTGCACCAACACTTTGTGTTGGTGTAAAACTAATTTTTGTTAAATGCACCAACATTTGTGTCCGTGTGAATTTTTATTAACGCACCAACACTTGTGTCGGTGTAAACCATCAAAATGTTTGTGCAAACTTGTGGTGTACAAATGGGGTATATTTTTTGGTGTAAGTGTAGCATGGTCTTTGAACTTTTCATGCCTATTGTTTGTTTGGAGAGTAGATCCTCTATCCAAAAAGTCACATCCCAAATCCAATCCCAATCCCAAGTTTCATTCTCGGATAGTTTTCGCAAAGTATAACAATTTTGTACTCTATTATTTACGGCCTTTTATTCTGTTTTGACTTTTTGGTGTCAACAAAAATTTATTTTTGATCAATAATTAAATGACACTCATACAGTCATACTTTGTAATATTTTATAACATAAATTTAATAAAATTATTTTCATATCACTATAGAATATGAAAATTATTTAACTAAGGGTCAATTTTTTATAAATTTTGAAAAAGTCAAAATTTAGACAAATGTTTCAGGACAGGTGGTATGTAATAGCATTTCGGAGATGAAATAAGAGGGTGGAATAACATTTTTAGGGAGTCGCTTAAAGTGCTTGGGTGTGATTCCATCTCATCTTCGCCTACCGAAAATTTGTTTTAAGGTTACAGATAATTTGTTTTGAAGATAAAGAAACTTGGCACAGCCCATCCCGTTTCCACTCTCGCAAACTAAACACTGAAAAACACCAAGTTTGGCACAAACACACACTGACATCAATTGTCTGTGTTTCACATAGAGTTGTTGTCTATGTGTGTCTTTGACAAACTTGATGTACACCTGATGTACACAAGCTGGGATACCCCTAGCAAATCCCACAAACACTGCCCAGAACTGCCACCCAAAATACTCGTTTTTGTCCAAACTCATCTTCTCAATCCAATTCAATTTGGGACAAAGGGATAAAACTCTGGCACGGCCCGTCGCCCAATCCAATTAATTTTTTTCGTATATGTAGAATAGGGTAATTTTTGTTTTTAAATCATGCAATCTATTTTTGTTTAGCATCCTTATAAAACTTTTTATTTTGAAAATGTCCTTAAAAGTAATTAGCACTTCTAATTAGTTGAGACAACACATTTATTTTATACTTAATATCTCATTCTTACATTTTAATTACCTCTGGTTCAATTCTCATGTCTTTGATTATGTCCTTATTCATATTACACTTCCAATTCTCAAATTCCATTGGAATATACTTCGTAATATACAACGCAATAAAATTTCAGGAAATCTGAGAGGAGCGAATTTTTCTAACATTACCTACTAAACCCACATCAAGTTACCCTCATCTTACAATCTTCTTTAACCTTGATCGACCTCAACTCTTTTTCTGCACATTCCTTTGGCGCCTATCTAGTACGGATCTATACATCAATGATGGTTTCTTGTTATTTCATGGACATCATTTATATTCTTGACAAAAAATTTACACTGACATGTTTTGCTCTGACTCTTGAAGGGCTCCGACCGCCCCGCCTTGCCCCTAGTGTCTTGATTGAGGAGATAAATTGTGCTTCAACTATTGTTCTTAACTTAACATAGTTTGGACAATAATGAATGATTCTAATTTTGATATCAACGAAGATTAGAAAAAACAAGTGGAGTTTGCGCATAAAACTTTCCATGGAATGACTATATATGAAGAGTGTAGTTCTGGCATGAAAATTGCAATATTTTGTTTCTAATTCTATCAAGCTTAAAAAAAGAGCCATATTTCTAGCAAAATAAAACCAAAAGATGTAGAAAACTCGAATTAAGGTCAGTAACCTGCATTTGGAAGAACATTTGCATTACTCACATAACTTAGAATATGAGACATTATTGTGGCAGTCATTTTCGAGTGTTTCATCTACCAAAAAGAAAAAGGGAGAACAAAATAATGACCTGAACACATTACATGGCTATGTGTTTAAAGGGGAGAGATGCATTTTTTTCGTGTATAACAATGGGACTGATATCTTTAATTTACGTTCTGTAGAATATCACTTGGACCGTTCAAATCCCCAATCACTTGGCAACTTCGGCGCTAAGAGCTTTCTGTGCAGCTTTGAGCATTATCAAGAAGTGTTCAGTTTTCTGTAGTTGAGAGTCAATAACGTCACAAATCTTCATGCACCCCTGCTCGTGCATACAGAATTCAAGATTTAACACATCACGTTAGCCGCTTTTCCCAAGCAAACAAAACCAAAATTACTGCAAAAAGAAAAAGAAAAAACCAACATCTATTGCTGCATCTAGAGCCTTCTTCCTTGCCCTTGTATTTGCAACTTCGATATCCATACTTCTTGCGATGAGGGCCTAAGTAAAAGCAATATTTTTAGTAATAAAAAAACGATTTGTTATTCTAAGAATACAATGTCAAAATAGATTTGTAGTAATACTACCACTCTCGAACGGAACATATCTCTTTTAAGGGCCTTGTGAGCCGCATTCAGCATCCCTGCATACTGCAAATCTATGCAGGTTAAGCACATTATATTTTAGCCAAAGCCAACCAAGAATTAAAACGCGAAATGAACCAAATGATGACCAAGCACATACATCAGCTATTTTGTCAGCCGCACTCAAATTCGCTACCCCAAAACAAGTGCACAACAACGCAGTGGGTAGCCAAAACGACTCATGGATAACGGGCAGCTTTATATCATCAAATGTCACGGCTTTCAATATGTCTCTATCATATGCAAGTTCCTTAAACACACTGCAACTGCGAACAAGTTTTTCATCGTAATAAGAGGCAACCCGCAATCTCTAGGAACACATATATCATCTCATTCTCAACAGCTTAAATTGAGAGCTAAATACTCACACAGATATTGCCCTGGCGAGGCTCTTGGCACCATCAGACGATTTCGCTAGGTGGTAAATAACGTGTTTCAATACATCGTAGTTTAGATCAGTTAATCTTTTCTGCCTCCGCTTCATAGTCCTGGCAGCACATCGTTTAGATTCTAACCCAAGCAATAACAAAAACAACTACATATCATGCATCTATTCCTTTCCCGTTCCGATCTGAGAGTTTATTTCTCTTCTTTTCTTTTATTCTGTCTTCAAATAAAGCTCCCAAGTTATCCGTAATAACACAAATAGATTAATGGGAAATGAGGAGCAATGAACAAAGGATTTTAGGGGCTATTCAAATATTGAAGCTTTTTCGAATTTTACCTTAATTTCATGCACATTCCCACACTGGAACTTATAAAACCAATACGAGATTTAACAGATGATGAAAAAAAGGGTAAATTTTAAAGATCTTGATAATCAACGATTTAGGGCTCTCCATTTTACCCACCCCATCACTAGTTAACTGGTTTAAAAAAATCAAGAAAGTAAAGCACACATAGGAACCTGATTGAGGAACAGGGGAGAGAGCATTCAGCGCGACTTGGAGGCCAGTTTCTGTGCCCTTTCTGCCTCGCCGGTTTGGACTTCGGAGAAGTCAATTGTGTCTTAGTGATGGCAACAGATTGCCGAGGCTACGACATCTGTACTAGGTTTTAGCCACCTAAATTCTCTTTCATTATCCTTTTAGTCCTTACTCAGTTACTCCTTTGTGTTGTGAATTGTTCAGGAGTTCTGCATTCTAATGGGCCTGAGTTCAAAGGCTTTTGGATATGCTCCGTATACCACACTAATTTAGGCCGTTCAACTTATCTTTTTCCATTTACAGTATAATTTATTTTTATTAAAATTTGATTAGATTCATTTAAATCAGGTCTACTTAGACCATTTCAATCCATAAAATATTGAAAAAGAATGTTAAGGTTTAGTCTATAGCTAAATATAATTAATACTAGTGTTAACCCCGTGCTTCGCACGGACTGTATACATTCTAAATTTTTGATATTCTATATATATAATTTTATTTATTTTAGTTTTCTAATAGTAACATAATATGTGTTAGATGAATATTGTTTTTAATTTTAAGATATATCTTTTTTCAAATAATATAATTTAAATATAGATGTACATGCATTAAAGACTCTATAAGTATTTTGGAAAAATTCACATCGTTACTCCCAAAATTGCATAATTTTACATAAATACTCCGAGATTTAATAAATGACACTCATGCTCCCAGAATTTTTGTATGTTTACATCAATACTCCAACATTGAAATATGTTTACATCGGTGCCCCAACATTTGGAGCATAGATATAAACATAAATAAATTCTTAGAGTATCGATGTGAACATATAAAAATTTTGGGAGTATTGATGTCATTAATTAAATTTCGGAGTATTTATATAAAGTTGTGTTATTCTGGGAGTAATGATGTGAATTTTTCCAAGTATTTTCTTTGAAAGTAGTAAAAGAGAAATGATTTTTTTAAAAAACCATATAAAACTTAAGTTTTTCAAAACATCGATAAAACTAAAAAAATATTTTATAAATATACTTTAATTATGTAAACAAAATATGTTTTAAACTGGTGGAATATGTATTGGTATTTTTATTTAAAAACAAAAATTTTATACAAAACTAATGGCCATTATTGAATGAAGTGCTAATGAAAATGATTTTAATTAATAAAACATTATAATAAAAAATGGATTAATTAAATAATCCTATATATAGGATATAATAAAACATTATTGAATGAAGTACTAATGCACATGTGGATGCACATGTGGCATGCCACATGTCAACACCCCAAGAAGTTAACTTAACTTTATAATATATATATATATATGTGTGTGTGTGTGTGTCTATATATATATATATATATATATATATAACAAAATAAATTAGATAATTTAGCATTTAATATTTGGAAATGAAAATTTTTATATATAAATTCAAAAGTGAACATCTCAAAGATTTTTAAATTCATATTTTTTTTGAAAGACTTCGGGTATACAACATTTTTGGTGTAGTTTCAAGGATTTTCATTATCATCTTGAACTAAAATTTTTTAATACTGTCTTTGCTTTCACTCGTGAAACAGAAACATAAAGTTTACCATGATGAACACCAAATTAGTTTAAAATAATCTAACAAATGACAATGTTTGACCATAACTTTGTCAAAAGTCATAGCAAAACATAATACATTGAGAATCATCTTCTCAAGAACCTTAAGAGTAGTTCTCGATCAGATAGTACCAAATTCATTCTAAGTATTAAACCTTTTTCCTGACTCGATTTCTCAAAACCAAAATTGCATTGATAATATTATTTCGTAGCTCTTCAACGATTAATCTTGTCTCATTACACAATTTAGATGTTTGGTCAATGTTCTTCAATAACATATATAATTAGTACCCTTTTTTTAAACTATTTTGTGGTTTGGGATTCTCGAACATTTGATTTCATTTAAAAATTCAATTGTTATTAAATCGCCATCAACACCTACACCTGCATCTCCTTGGCATGAAGAATCATAACTTAAGTTCTACTTTTCATCACCGTGAAATTCATTTATCATTTGAACTACTTCGAGACTTGGTGTTAATAGTGTCTAATCCTCAAAAAAGAATAATCGTCCATATTTTCTAATATATTTGGATAAGTGAAGTCGGCGTATTATACTCTTGATAGGAGAAGTTGTGTCAAGAATCAAGAATCTGGGCGAATCTCAATATCACTCACTCTATCAATCACCTCTGTAAGCTTTCCATCTCTGAATTGGATTTTTTAATCAGAAAAAGCATGTTTGTCTCTATTTGCGCAAGAGGACATAGATGAATGTAGTCTCATATTCTTGGTCAACGTAAAAACTTTACAAATCGCCCACAACTTAAAAGAATTGATTGTAGCACCTACAATTTCCTCTCTTGAAGCTTTGAGTAAAAAATGGAAGAATCTGGCGAAAGCCACCCGCGAGTACAACTATTTTCTCCCCTAATGGTTCATCTTTGTATTTACTATTAGAGAACCATACGACATCTCTCATTGTGTGATCTAATGCCTCAAAAGCAAATCTATCCATCATACATGCTTCATCATATATAATTAAACTTGCTTGTTAGAGTAACTCTGCTTTCGGGCTCCTATGTTTGATATGATGGCACACCTTGAGCACTGAGCTAGCGCAAAAGGGATTCAAAATCTCGAGTATGTTGTCCTTTCACCAAGAAATAGCAATGCTATAATGTCAATGGATGCAACATTCAAAAAAATCCTTATTGTTGAAATATTAGAATAATAATATTGCTCATTGAATTATGAAGTACATGATAGCATATATATTTAAGAGACTCCTAACACAACTAGGAATAGAGAATGAAGACTAACTAAAATACAACATCTACCACAATAAGAATAGAAAGCTAACTAATAATCAAACACTATCATAACTAGTACTACTAGAAATAATATTAGTATTATTGTTGAACATCCGCGTTGCAATATTGGAATACTAATATTGTTCATTGAATTATGAAGCACATGATAGCGTATATATAAAAGAGACTCGTAACACAACTAGGAACATTATCACACATGTAACATTATTATTATTATTATTATTTAATTGTATATAGTATAATAATATTAATAATTAGTAATTATATCCAACATTGAATAATGTAACATAAATTAGGCTCTGTTTTATTTAGGTTAGAAAAATTAACTTCTAATTTTATCCAACTCTTTGTTTCTTCAAACGCCTTCAAGTTTTTTTCTAATTCTTTCTAGTTTCTTCCAACAACGACGTATTTACATATAATGAATAAATAATAACATTATAAATCTAAATTCATAACATAACACCTCAAATAAGGACAAAAATGAATTTTTTTATATCCGAAATTAGTTTTCTTACATATTTATTTAGGTAATCATTTAATTAAGTGGTTTTTTTAAACATTTATATTTTTCAACATTTTCCAACTTCTTTAAATTTTTTCCAATTCTTTTTAATTTTTTTAAACTCTTTCTAGTTTCTTGCAACACCCAATTTTAGAATTTTTAACTGGATAGAGCTTTAATCGTATAATAATTACTAGTACTATTATGTATTAATAGAAGAAATGATAATATTCATTTCAGTATGTATTTGTCTAATTTAATCTAATAAAAATGATCTACTTAAAGATTATTTGATTTAATTAAATCTGAGTTAGCCTTATCTAATCTAATTTTAACAGAAATAAGTAATAAATTTAAAAATTAAGTTGAACTAAACTTGAAAAATCCCCCCCTATTGTTGAAATTTCGAGGCACCCCTGGAGTTCCTGAATCAGACTGAAACGACACCCGTCTGTCGGTACAACTTTTCTGACTCGTAAATAAATAAATATGGTTCTTTCAAATTGTCGAAATCCTCTTATCCAACGCAGCAGCTGCAAAAAAAAAAAAAAAAACATTTCCTCTTTCAACAATGTCTTACTACCCCAAAGGCCATCATACCGGCGACGACGCCGTCGACGACTTCGATGAGTATGATCCGACTCCCTACGACGGTGGATACGACATTACCGTGGCATACGGCCGTCCCATTCCGCCATCGGAGGAGACCTGCTATCCCATCTCCTCCTCCTCCGGCGGCTTTGACTATGAGCGTCCTCATTATGCCTCCTCTGCTGAGCCATCTGCCTATGCCGACGAGGCTCTTGATAACGAGTACAAGAGCTACGCCCGACCCAAGCCCCGACCCACCCCTTCTTCTTATGGAGGCTCATCCGAGGCCGGGTATGGCGGATCTGACAATCCCCGCCCTAGCTATGGATTCCAATCTGGAATAAATCTCCCCGTTGTTGGATCTGAGTTCGGAGAGGGCGGATTCGGATCTGAAGGCGGGTATGGCCGCAAGCCGGAGTACGAGAGACCCCCTTCTGAATATGGGGCGGGCGGATTCGGATCCGAAGGCGGGTATGGACGCAAGCCAGAGTACGAGAGACCCGCTTCTGAATATGGATCGGGGTATGGTAGGGATAGCGCGCGCGAACGTCCCGGTACTGAATATGGTTCAGGTTATGGCCGGAAGAGCGAGTACGAACCGCCAAACTCGGAATACGAATCTGGGTATGGCCGTAAGGCCGAATATGATAACCCTGCTTCTGAATATGGATCAGGTCATGGACGCCGGCATGAAGATAAAAATCCCAGCTCAAATTACGGATCTGGCTTTGGACATACGAGTGTAATTGAAGAACCTGGCTCGGAATATGGATCAACTTACGGGCTCCGTCCCGAATCTGAGTATGAAAGGAAGAGTGAGTATGAGCAGCCTGGTTCTGAGTATGAATCGGGCAGATATGGTAGGAAACCAAGCTACGGGCAGGAGGAGAACAGCGGGTATGGGTATGGGGGAGGAAGGACTGGGCAGGAGAGAGCTGGCTATGGTGAAGAAAAGCCCAGCTATGGTCGTTCAAGCTATAAGACTGATGAGATTGAAGGCCATGGGCGATCAACTTATGATAGGCCGAGCTATAAAAGGTCCGAGGAGGAGGACGACTACAGGAAGCCTAGCTACCAGAGGCGTGATGAAGATGATGATGATGAAGGCTATGGTCGCAAGAAATATGTGAGCATTTCCATAGCCCTTTCCTAATTTATGCGAGTTATGTCACGGATAAGCATAGTTACTTTGCATTTGCATTTTCACCTCCTTTTATAATGGGTGAAACAATGTCTCAACGTATAGTGTGTAGATGACTTGTTGAATGTGTTATGTGGTATGTGCCTTTCAGACTTTAGCTAGGAAGATTATCTCTTCCCAAAGAATAATCATGTCATGAACAAGTGTAGTTGCATTAGTTCCATTCTAATTTAGAACTAGTTAATTAATATATATTCCTGCAGCATTGAATCTTATATAATGTGAATTGCTTCTTAGCTCCTAGATTGTGACTAGACTTTAAAATAAAAATGGCAGGGTGATGATGACTCAAACGAGGAGGATAGCCACAAGCATCACCATCGCCACCATCGCAAGCACTATGACGATTGAACATAATTCGCGTCTTGCCATCCGTCCACAACAATATGGTTGTTCTTGCCATGTTATTAAAACTACCGAGTACTAAATAAAGTGTGTTCTACGTTTCCCTCGTCATGTGTCATAAGATCAGTTTCCTCGCAGCAGGTCAGTCATTTGGCTGTCCCTTGTTTGTGCTTAGAATGTTGTAATAAAGCCCCCGAATATTTGGGATGGTTTTTTTCGAAGTCGCTATTTCTTGTGGCTGGATATGTAGTGTGTGAAACAAACTTCTTTGTGTTTGTCAATGTTATATGGTATGCTTGTTGCTTACATTGAGTTTTATTTCTCATACGTGACTTCGATTATTGCGAGGTTAGTCATATTCGGCGTATGACTGCTGGTTTTGGTTGATGCTCTTCATATTATCTCTGCGTTCCGATTTCAATTAACACATTTTTAATATGAACAAAAATCTGTTTGATATAAATATTAAAAACTTTAGAGCCAAGAAGATCTTTTTTATGGATAAAAACATGTCACATTAGTCCCTAAGGCCCGGTTTGGTACACGGAATTCAAACTATGGAATTGGAATTGAGGACTTCAATTCCAATTCTGGTGTTTGGTAGCACAAAAATTATGTAGATTTGAAATTGATAGTGCAAAAATGAATTGGAATTGGTAGAATTCAATTCTATGGAATTGAATCCCATGGAATTTCAATTCCAATTCAATTCTAATTCCATCAATTTCGTATACCAAATGGACCCTAATAAACTATTCCTGAGGTTGAAGACACAACATCACGGACTTGGAGTGACTGGGCATCCACACAAACTCTTTGGAAAAGTTTTCAAATGAAAAAAACTTGCGGCAAAAACAGTTTGAACAAGAATAAATCTTGGTGTCGGCTTTTCAGTGCTAGTAAGTCATTCAAACATAATCCCGAGAGCCATGCTAGGGGTACACTGGTGTACCCCAATTGTACACCACATGTTTTTCCACCACACATCTTTTTTGATTATTATTTTTTTTTTTTGAATTTCTTGCCGATTATTATGGACAAGGAGGGGGTGGGGGACATTTGGGGTACACCTTTTGGTGTACCCCTAGCATTTTTCTAATCCCGACTTTGGTATTTTTTAGGGATATGCTAGGGGTACACCTTTGGTGTACCCCAAATGTACACCACCCCACCTCTTTACCATTCATTTTATTTTGATTTTATTTTTACTTTTTTTTGAATTTTTCTTGCCTTTTTTATGTGGTGATGGAGGGGGTGGGAGATGTTTGGGGTACACTTCTGGTGTACCCCTAACATTTTCCTATTCTTTATGTCCGGCACCCGTTTTCTGGCATCCGTAACCTTAAAATTCTTGCGCACTTTTAATAAAAAGTGTTTAGGATAGGTTTCAAACTCGTGACCTTTCTGTTGCAATTCTAATGCGTAAAAAATGGGAGATGAATGATCTTAATTTTGCAAGTAAAACCAACATGGGGCTTCAATTGAAGAACATAACCTGTGATGGTGTAAATATAGCGGGGTGGGTTAACCGGGTTTGACCTGGACACACTCGACCCGTAATATAAAACACACAACAAGAACACAAAGTATGACCTAGACCGGGTAAATCTCCTCAGTCCGAATTATATTTCTTACTCTATCTCAAGAGTGAACTTTAGTGAGAGAAAAATTGGATCCCTTCCTCTATCCAATATCATCATATTTATAGAGGAGGATTTGTGACCTTCCCCTGTTCATCCATGGACAAAATAGGAAGCTCGTGGGAAGGTCACTGTAGATAATGGAAGCACTATACAATCACAGACTTGTTACTAATACAACCAAAAAAGCACTGTTCAATCAAAGACTAAAATGGATATTCTCAATCCAATCAACCCTGCAAAATGACAAACATCCCTTTCACTGTGTGCCTCGTGACGGATGAGCGGCGGGGTGTCCCCTTGACCTCTGACGTGGTTCACCGTGCCTAAGAGACTGGACCAATGTTAGCAAAGTAACGTGGTATGACCGGTCACCTTTTCTCAAAGGTTACCCGGTCATTTCTTGAGCCCAGCCCGTCTCTTTGGTCTTCCGGAATATCCTTCGTTACATAAGGTGACATTTTGGCTATCGCCCAAAACGTGACCGGTCACTTTTTTAGTGGAAGTGACCGGTCAACTTTTGACCCGTCCCAATTGAAGAGTTAACCTCATTTGGTGATTGATAAAAGTGACCGGTCATATATTGACCTGTCCCTTCCGGTTATCCGGGTCGGGTATAAGGATATACCCATCAACCTGTAAGAAGAAAAATGTTTGGTTTGAAAACATGTAATCAAGAATTAAGTTTTAAAAGTAATTATTTAAAACCTATTCAAAATTGGTTTCAAAAACTGGAATCAAGATACATATACAACGTCTCTGTCAAAACACATATTCAGAAGCATATTCACACTATCAAGAGCTGAGATTTCAAAATTTCGAAGTTACAAAAATAAAACAACAACAACAACCCAGTTAAATCCCACAAGAGTAGGGTCTGGGGAGGGTGTGTGTACGCAGACCTTACCCCTACTCAAAAGTAGAGAGGCTGTTTCCAAAGAGACCCCCGGCTCAATGTCGAAAGTTGCATTGCTTGACTAACTGCTACTTCATTAATTAAAGAAGCGCAGACAGTTTAGAGATCCATTTTAATTTATTCCATCACATCCCAAAGCCAAAAAATGGCAAAATTTTGGCTCCATCGTAGATGATGGAAAAAGTTACAAAAATAAAAAAAATCATATTTTCTATGGGTCCTAATTCAGATATATGTTCAAATTTTCTAATTTGCACCCCATGTGCGCAATCTTGATACGGAAGCACTTTTAACACAAAGGACTCTAACATCACCCCTTTTTCGCATTTGGGTTATTCCGAGAAAATCCAACATCAGAAAGAAATCTTGATAAAAATCCTTCAGATTTGTTTTTACCACTGGAACGGCTCAAATTGCAGATTAGAGCCCAGTGGGTGTTGAAGTCAGGCTCATACCCATCTTGCTGCATTCTGTGTAAAACTTGGGACGCCTTGATCGAATTGTTCTCAAAGCGATACCCATTAATCACAGCGGAATACATTTCCCTGCTTGGGGTCTCGCCCATCTGAACCATTGTGTCAAGCAATGTTTCTGCCTCTGCAACTCGTTGTCCCCTGCACAAGCATTGGACAAGTGCACTCCAAGTGTTTTTGTTTGCTGTATGGCTTCTGCATAGCATTTCAGCATGAAAGTCCAGAGCTTGATCCAAGAGGTCATGAGAACAAAAACACTGGATTATGTAATCATAACTGCTACTGTCCGGGGGGGAATTATTCCCTTTCTTCAACATTATGTTCAGAAGGTCCACTGCTTTGTCTACTTCTCCATGCTGACAAAACCTCTTTATAAGAACATCATAGTTTATGTTTCCTGGAATCAGGTCTTTTAGTTCTACACGGTCCATCAACTGTACTGCTTCACTGAGTTTGCCACGAGCAAGAAGGCCTTCTACTAAAGCATTCTGAATGACTGAACCCAGTTTCCAACCTCTCAATTCCATTTCCTCGCTCAAGTTAAAAGCCTTTTCAAGCTCCCCATTGCAGCAAAGGCACTTTATAACCTCTCTAAGACTACGGTTATTTGGCCTCAGACCTTTTTGCATCATGTCTTTCAGATATTGTAAGGAAGATGTCACATCTTTACACTGGGAGAACCCCTGTATGAGAAAATTGTTAGAGACTTCTTCAAGTAGCAATCCCTTTGATTGTATTTCATGTAAAATTGTATTCAGAAATGAGACTTTATCCGCGGAGAACATCCGGAAAATCAGTATATTATATATCAGTGTAGGTGGAAGGTTCTTCTGAGAAATCATAAGTTTTTTCAAGCTCAATGCAAGACAGAGCTTGCTTTCTGCAAACATAAGGCTCAATAAATTCCGATAACTTGCAGCTGTGAGATCCATGTTCTTTCGGGTCATGACACCAAGCACCTCTCCAATTTTCTTGAAGTTTTTAGCTTTTGTGTAACCCTGGGCTAGAGAATTATACACTTCTTTATCATGTGAAAGGCCATGCATATGCAACTCTTTGTAGAGGCTTGATGCTTTGCCTACCGCCCCAGACTGGCATAAACCATGTATTAGAGCTCTGTGCACATAAAGCAATGCAGAGGGTTGTTCTCTTGAGAAACTATCTTTCAAAAAGACAGCTTTCCCAATGTTTCCATTCCTGCAAAGCCATTGAATTAACAAGACAGAGGCCTCCAAGGGAAGAGTGAAGTTCTTAGCAAGCATAGTCTCACATATCAAAAGAGCTTTGGAAAATTTCTTTTCTTTGCAAAAGCTGCAGACAAGAAGGTCATAAGACATATGATCCGGGTTGTAGCCACGATCTGCAAGTGTCTTGAGTAAAACATGTGCAGTGTTTGTGAACCCAAAAGCACAAAGCTGCTCAAGCAACTCATTAAAGCAACCAAAGTCCTTATGAGGGTGGTGCACTAGCATGGCCTCAAATAGCTCTAGAGCTTTGCCATGAAATCCATGTCGGCATAGGCAATGGAGAAGAGTCTTGCCATCTTTTATGTCAGGAAACCAGTTATATTTTTGTGCAACATGCCAATAGTTGGCTAGAGCTCTTCCATCACCCTTGTTGCATAACCCAATTAAAAGAATAGTATGTGTTCGATTCTCAACATTTTGACGCCTCAGTAGCATCCCATTTACAATTATTCTGGCTCTTTGCACCAAACCTTTTTTGCCAAAAGTCTGAGCTAGAGTATTTAATGTTTCATGATCAAGCTGATGATAGTTGAACTTAGGATTTTCCTCAAACAGATGGATAACCGTCTTCAAATTCGCACGGCCTTCACAAAAACCTTTGACTAATGTTGAGAACAAAGGAAAGCAAAACTCTTGCCCCCAATTAACCATATTGCCCACCATTATCACAGTTTCTTTGATGCTTTTACTCTGGATACTCTTCAATATTTGGGACTTAAAATCAGGAAGCATGGCATCATCAAGTACTTTTGTCATGGCAGCCTCGTACTTTTTGAGATCCGTGTCCAGATAAAGTCCATTTCCAAGTTTATCATAAAATTCTGCCTCAGAATATCCCAACTCACTGTCTCTCCGTATCTTCACAGCAGTGGGGCAAAGTCCCAGAAGTGTAAACACTTTGCTAAGTAGATCTTCCAGAGGTGTTGGTTGGATGAAACCACAGTCTGCCATCTCGAAAACTACGGCTTTAACTTCCTCAAATTGCCTGGCTTTACAAAGACCTGCTAAAAGAACCATGAAAGTCGACAGTTGGAGCCCATCTGTGGTTTCTTTCATTTCGTAGAGAATTTCTTGAGAGTGCTTCCACATACCCTGCTTGAAGAGCCCGCTCAGAAGAGCATCATATGAATACACCTGTGGCTTGAGACGTCTTGACAGTATCTCATTAAAATAAATGAACGCGTCTTTGATTTTCCCCTCTCGGCAACTCCACCCAATCAAAATTCCGAGGGTTATTTCATTGGAACAAAAACCCAATTCTTCCAGCCTCAGGCGGAATGAGTTGGCACACTGTGAACCAAGATATGTACACAAAGAATGGATGATCTTGTTGGCTACATGAACACCGGGGATACATCTTACTTCGACAAAGAAACTAAGTATGTCATCATAATCCCTCTTCTCGCAGTACGCAGTCACCATTGCATTGAGAACTAAGTTGCTGGGCTTAATTCCGAGAGTTAGAACTTTCTTGACAAGATTTCTAGCATCCTGAACTTTACCGTCTGCACACAAAAGCCTAACAACACTCCCATAAATGTGCCCTTGTGCTACTGTCCTTCCCATACCTAGAGTTATAGCATCCGCAAAAATTTGAGGTGCCAGTTGGGTCACATTTAGTTGAACCAAGAACTTGAGAAGGAGTTCATAGCATGACAATGATGGGACTAAGCCTAGAATCCTCATTCTATCATAACTTGCAACAGCCTTCTCCAAATGGAGCTCACCCACATACCCTTGAATCAAATTACTGAAAATTTCATGATTATCGAAGAGAACTTCCTGATTTGTGGCCATGGAAAGCAAGCATTCAACCTCCTCAAACATCCCGGCCCGGATAAGCATGGAGGCCATGATCTTGTAAGATTGAGAAAGATGCTCAAACCCCTTACTCTGCTGGCTTGCCCGCCTAAAAATCCCCCACAAAGATTCAATCTTTTCAGCCTCAAGCCAAAAATTATTGCTGACACATTGAAAACCCAGAAGAATTTCAAGAACATCTTGAGGTTTTAACGGATGAACTCTCCAAAATCTGCGAACAGTTTCTGGGGAGATACAAGAAAGCCTAAAAATGAAATATTTGAGAGAAGAGTTGGCCAAAGTCTCACCGCTGCTGCAACCAAAGAGATAAGAACAATCCGGTATCACATCTTTGGCAATGCCTCGAAAGTTAATCGGAATTGGATGGATATTAGTGGGTTTTATAGCTGATGGAGAAGATCGACGCGAAGGATGAACAGGAACTGAGGAGAACAGAGAATAATGTGGTAGAAAAGGAGTGAATTGGGGGACAATGAAATGAACCCGTTTGATGCGCTGCTTGTTAGATTGGAGATTGTGTAGAAGAAGTTGAAGCATTCGATTGCAATGGAAAAAACTGCTACTCAACTATGGACTATGGATTCCCCCTCCCTTATCCCTTCGACCCTTCCTCCCACAGTCCCAGTCTGTCTCGCACCCCCTCCTCTATGTGGGTGTCAACCTCTTCATCAACTTTTTGCTTTTATAGTGCGATATTATTAGTTTTAGTAAAATTTGTTCCGGACCTAAACATATGTGTTTTCCCTATATAGGATTTGTGTCTTTTTTTTCTTTTTTTAGGAGTAAATTTAGAACACACACCCTAAAATGCCCCTTACCCACGTTTCCCCATCACCCTTTTTATTAAATTTATTAAATGATAATGGTGAGCAATTAACTCCACATCCTTATCACTTTAGTAACCGTTACTCTATTTCCTCGCACACCATTGTTACATTCCTTCCTTCACTCATGTCTCTGCCGCCTCTGGTTTGTTCCGTTAGTCTCTTCCTCTCGCCTCCTCTCTCACAATGTTTTCTTCACTACTGGTTTCTGTATCAAAATTTGCAGCGGGTTCATCCACACCTCCGAACATCCACCTTCTCCTGCAATTTGATGGCGAATGGGATGGTAATGGTGTTTTTTCTTACGCATATGCTTATGAGATTGACATTCCGATTCAGACCCATTATGAAGACTTTCTGGAACTAGTTCGTACTACGGTTCCGTCTTCTTATGAAAATTCTGTTTTCTATATCTCGTATATGTCTAATTCATCCTCAAGGTGTGTCGTCATTGAAGATGATGTGAGCCTTCTCGCCTACCTTCGTTTGAAGAGCACCTATCCCTCTTTACGCGAATTCCCTTTGTGCGTGGAAGTATATCATTTCAAAGAAATGGGTGTGTCTAATGGAGAATCAGTCCCCACCGAAGGTCTGCAGACATTACCAGGTTATGATTGTGAGGTAGACTCAACTACTCAGGAAGAAACTGATTCAGATGGCTCAATGCGTGATGTTCTAGGAAACGAAACCACTATCTGCAGAGACGACATCTCATCGCGGTGTGATTTGTCTAAGGAGTCATTCACCTATAATGTAGATGAGATTTCTACGCATAATGACCATGACAGAGAGTTGGTTTCCTGGAATTCTATTGACTCCAATCCGTCTGGTTATGAGATGTCCCAGCAAGATATTAACTCATTGAAGGAGATGCACGTAACATCTCAGTTTGATCCAACTAGGATTGTCGTTGGTGCCATATACTTTAGCAAAATGGACCTCGATTATCATTTGAAGATGCTTGCAATTTCCGACTGTTTCCAGTACCGGACCAGAACTTCCAAAAAATCCGAGCTGCATGTTGTGTGTGTTGACTTCCCTCGTTGCCAATGGGCTGTTCGGGCTGTGCGTTTACCCGGCGTTGAGATGTTCCAGGTTCGTAGGTGCGTACTACTGTTTTTAACATTTAGCGGAAAACTGTCCTATTCCCAGGTTTTTGGGGTGTTAATGTCTATGCCATTTTACTACGTCTTTCACCAATGTCATGCTACTGTTCTTTATTTCCAACATACCTGAGGTGTTAGTGTCCATGCCATCTTCTAGGTCTTTATTTCCCATATATTTACTGTCTAATGGGTGTATTTATGGTCTTTAACCAATGGGTTTTACTCCTACTATACTGGTCATTATATTAATGATTTGCGTAAAGTCTAAAAAAACAGGACTTTTAGGTCATTCAATAGCCAATCTATATATCACACCATAGTGCATTACTTGTAATCAAACCGAACACCCCCCATCATTTACGATTAACGTATAACTATAAGTGTTCTTTTCACTATGCACGGTATTATCTACTCGCATGGACATTATATGCTTTGTCAGTTCATTTTCCAATGTTATCTCAGTCAGTTAATGTCTGATACATGGACATTACATTATCTTTCTCTTCCATAATGTCCACACTGCATAATGTCTATGATGGCTATAAACCACCGAGAGTATGAAATAATAGAAGTTTTAGAGAGAGAGAGAATGCAAAGTAGGAGTATATTGATTTCAAACTGGGGATCCATTACAATGAGGGGTGCCACCCCTTTTATAGGCGGTACAATTCACTAAGTCAAAGCCCTCTAATCGAGGCTCGTCATTTAGCGGACGTCACCTGTCCTTAGGTCTTGTCCCTTTCATCCTATCGCTTTCACCAAGTCTTTGTTGAACGTCGCTTTCCGCACGTCGTTGTCGCGGGGTTCGGGCTCGGCTTGGTTGGCCGAGCCGAGCAGGAGGGACGAGCGGAGCGCAGAGCCGGGCAGCAGGACGAGTGGAGCTCTGAGCCGAGTAGGAGGGACGAGCGGAGCGCAGAGCCGGGCAGCAGGACGAGTGGAGCTCTGAGCCGAGCAGGAGGGACGAGCCCGATGTCAGCCCTAGTGCTGGCGTGGGGTTATTCCCCATCAGAAGCCCCCCACTCTCCGGGTTCCGTGGCGTCTAGCAGCGGAGCGCGTGGGAGTAGAAAACACTGTGGATGGTCAGCTCGTGGGCCCACGCGTAGCTTGACAGATCGGCGGCGACGTTTGGAGTTCCCCACGAACGGTTGTGGCACTTCGCTTCTCCCAAGTGGCGGCCCATCGTGACACCTGTTCGGCCCATCACTATCCGGGCCCACTTTTAGTATAAATAGCCCCAAGGCTTCCTTCATTCTCACACATTCTAGAGAGAGAAAACATTAGGGTTTGGCATTAACCATCTTCCGCGCCGCCGCTCTCTGCTTCCCTTCTCACACGTCGGCGTTCGTTGATTTCCGCTCTCCCCCGGAGGCGTTCCTTCGAGGTCAGTTCCTCTGCCCTGCTATTCCATGTCTATCGAGTCGTCCTCTGTTCTCACGTCCGAGGCCGAGCGCGAGCTCGGGCCCGACAGTCATGGGTCTGGGGCCCAGGGCGACCGAGCGGAGCAGCCGGGTTCCCCGTCCGTTGAGGAGATCACGGCTGTCGAGGTGCCCGGGGTTAGTGAGCCTCGCCTCCAGAAACGAACCTTGCTCGTGGACTCGCTCATCCGCGAGTGCAAGTGCGACTTGTCGAGTGACGAGTTTCTCAGGGTGGTGCGCTATGCCGGCCCCCTTGTCACCGTCCGTCGCCCTACCCCGGATGAGTCAGTCTTCGACGCTCCTCCGGGCTACTTTGCCATCCATCTCAAGTCCCTTGAGAGCGGCTTCCGCTTCCCCCTCGAATCTTTGGTCATCGACTTCTTCAATTACTTTGACTTCCTCCCGTGCCAACTGGTGCCGAACTCCCACCGGTACTTAGCGGGGTTCTTGATCCGCTGCCGGGAGATGGGCGTGCGAGCCGACCTTGAGCGCCTAATGACTTTGTTCCGAGTGGCAAAGTCTTCCGGGTCGGACGGGGGTTCTTTCGCCGCCCTCTGCCAGCGGCAAGAGAGACTTTTTAAAACCAAGAAGGAATCCAACAAGACTTGGAAGTC